AACAAAAACAGCACGACCTCACTTAACCCCCTTTTGAAAACAAATTTTCGACACACAATCACCATTATCATCGCATTTTATAGTAAAAATTGTGAATGAAAAATAAAAAAAAAAAAAAAAAATGTAAACAAGAGAACAAGTACATGCTACTCTTTTTTTATTATTACTTTTCTTTGTTGTTGTTATTATTGAGAGTACAAAATACAATTAGTTTTATTTTCATTTATTTATATTTATTTCGATTTTAATATGCATGAATTATAATACTCCTCGTTTAAAGTACTCGTTAGTAACTACTAATCCAAAACTTTAAATATGGATCGCTGGTCGATTACTTGAAAACAAATTAAACTCAAACAAAACGTCATAAGAAAAAAACAAATGTCGTGTTGTTTTTTTGTCCAAATGTTAAATGAATGAAAATTGGCCGTTTAATAAATGTTTTTCTTTTTTTAATTTTATTTATTTTTAACATTGCACTCACACCACTTTGGTTTTTTCTTTTAACAGAAAAACGCAGTTCAAACTGTAAAGAAAATTTCAATTCGATACAAAATTCGATATTAAATCGATAGTACGAGCAGAGATGAGTACAAAATTTAAAGTTTGATAGAGAGTGCAGGAAGAAATAAAAAATGGAAGGAATCTTCTGGCTGTTTGGGTCTATAAATATTGTATGTTTGTAAAGGTATATGTAGTGTGCTATAAATATTGGCTGTTGCAGCAACTTATATTGGTTTGTGTGAGTGTGTTGCAATTTTATATTCGTGACCCACTTATAAAAGGTGCAAACGATTGGTCGTTTAAACAAATGAGTAAAATAAAAAACTAAAGTAAATGTTAAAGTCTACATAGCAGGGGTCACTTTTTGTTTTTGTTTTTTTCTATATAATTTTTTTAATGTTACAAAGCCAGTCAAGGATGTCTATTATTGCTTTCTTAACTATTTATGTAAATAAGTATTTCGCTAAGACTTTAGTAACTTAGAACTGAGATTATGAATGTAACAAAAACACATTTCTCGTGTTGTATTATTATTTAACTTGTTTGTTGCGAAGTAAGAATATTATTTATAATTAAATTTTTATTTTATATTAATATAGTAATATAGGTGACACGTACACATTTTAATCTATTCGGCTTTAGCCCCTCCAGTTTCATCAGAAAATAGTCTTTTAGATTTTCACGAAATAATTTTGGTTTTTAAGAATATGTAAGTGATTACATAAAACAATTTAGTTTTGGAACAAAAGCCCATTCCAAACCCCGCATAAGACTCTTGATACTACTTAAGTGATAATTAAAATGAAAGTAAAATATTATAAATAAAACATTGCTGAATGATGACCAACAGAGAATGTAGATTTTGTACAAATTGTTAAAACAGCTGATTACAAAAGCATTGTTTAAAGGCTTTTCCTACCATTCATCTCATCCCTCCGTACATCCATTCGTTCATACGTTCTCATTCATTCACATTTATTCATTTAAGTATGTAGTTTACGTATTTAGCAGTCCATAAGCGAGCAAGTGAGTCTGAGTCTCTGCCGTCTACCTTTTGTCTACCAAGTGTCTGATGCGTAAATTTAAAATGTCTTAATTACTCGGCATCACTCGGTGCATTAAAAGAAGAAAAAAAGATATTCAACCAAATCAACGAAAACTCAAAGAAAGATACAGGCTAAAACAGACATGGAACCACACACATACAGTAACTCTTGTACATCGGAGTACAAACTGCGGTACATTGATATGAAGAACCGTATGTATTTTATTAAAAGAACGTATTTCCTACAGACATACATACATACATACATATGTACGTTAGTAAGTATTTCTTTTCTTTTTGCTTGTGTTTTTTCTTTGTTTTGGTTTTATATTTATGTGACAACATGTCATCACCTATTATTTTACACAAAAGTAGTCAGTCATTCAGTCATTCACTTAGTGATTCTACTTTATATATGGTTGTTGTCGGTGGCTGCTATTGTTGTTGATTTTTTTTTTTTTTTTTGCTGGTGGCTGGTTGCATGCCGCACAGTATGTTGTCGTATCCAAATGTTGTTTTCTGTTGTTGTATTTCTTATCTTTTCAGAAAGTTTGTAGTAGTGCATAAAGTATATCAATATGAACACTCTTGTCAATAATAATAAGTAGACTTGAGACCAATTTGTTTTCAATTAACTAACAAAGATCCTAGGACTTGACTAAAACTAATCCAAATATGTAAAAAATATACTCCATTTAACACTGTAATGTCCTAGGTGTGGACCGCTTAAACCATTCATACATTACATCAGAGTAATGCCTTGCTTGAATTATGGGAGTTCATGATCCGCAACATGGTCCTATGTAATGCAGGCTATGGTCCGTAGTTTTCAAAAAGAAAAAAAAAACATGATCCATGTTTGCTTTACATAGGACTACTAATATAATAAACAAGGAAGGAAGTAGTTCTGGGATTACCTAATTGGATCATATATATAATAATATTTGCAGGGAATAAACTTTATCGTGATGTCACTGGACTTTGGTATTCCACTTTCAGTAGAGACAATTTATGTATATTTATAGTAAAGCGTCTCATAAAATATTGGACCTGAACAATATTTAAAATAATTGTAAAATAAATGTGAGATCATTGTTAAAATTTCATACAATTCCGATAAAGTAAGACCATAGCATAGAGTTTGGAACTTCGGATTTGTCATTATTACAATCGAATCGTTTCTGAAGGGTTCCGAAACACTATTGGATGATCCCGTTATATGTAGGAGGACGGACTGTAATATTTCCAATAACATCTGGACAGTTTCAGAACTTTAATTAGCTGCAAAACTTCAGATAATACAGAGAAAATAAAGCGCATTGAATACATAATCTCTTTACAATGTTAACCTTTCTATACGACTTGTCTTTAGAATAGAAATAACAGTATCATTCGACAAAATTCTTCGAAACTCGGCAGTGTACTTATAACCATAAACAGATATGTACTTCAATTCGCCGAGTAGACTGAATAAAATGCACTTAAAGTGCAAGTAGTTTTTTTCTTTTTGTTTGTTTTTTCTCTATCCATATGTGCGAAGTGCATTGTACAAAATTGGTTACTCATTCATTACTTTATGACATCATAATCTGGCATCTACCGCAATTATACGTATCTGTATGTCTGTATCAATGGCCAAATGAACGTGTGTGTGTTTATAGATGGATGAACCATTCAATAATGATTCAATTAGTACTCGCATGGAATGTAGAGCAACACAGCTTTAAGAACACACTAAATATGAATGTGCTAAAACTACACATCTTTAGGTGTTTATATACGGATGTAAGTATGTATGCCTACACATTATACTTGCAATACAATCGTGCAACAAATTTGTGCGTTTCAGTCAGCACGTGCGTTTTATGTTTGTTTGTTGTACAAGTGCAATGTGGAAGATGAGAATGAATGAATGAATGACTTTACTTAAGTCAATCTTAACTTTATTTATTATGAACAACTAAGTGAAAGACTGGATTGACTGTCGCAATGAAAGATGCTGAGGTGAATGTTGATTGTCCATTTATTTTGTACACATTTTCATAGAAAGAAACTGATTCAATAATGATTGTGTTAATTCAGTGAAATTTTGTACGTGTTGTTCTTAAGAACAAAAAAAAAGCATAAAGAAAAGTGAAATTGATCTGCAAATTATATAACTCATGCTGAAAAGAGTTGTAGTTAAGTAGTAATCAAGATTTGAATTTTAACCCAAATTGAGGAAAAATTTTGTGGAATTTGTTTTGGTTGCAAAGAAATTTTAATTTAGGAATTTATTTAACAATTTGTTTTTAATAGGGAATTATAGTATAGTAGATGCTAGAGTTTAGAAATAAATGGTCAAATCTTCTATTGAACTTCTGCTAGGTTTGGAAGTTATAACTTATACGAATGACTTCAGTATAAATGATTCTCCACTAAGACATTTCATGCCTGAATAAATATCATATTTGGAAGTCTTTGAAGACTTCGCCGTGTTACAGTGAAAAATCCCTTTCAAAATAAAAACAAGTAAGAAAGTATAGTCGGGCGTGGCCGACCATATGATACCCTACACCATTTATGAATATTAAATGTGATTTATTTTTCATTTATCTTCAATATTCCCTTGTTCCGATATATTTAAGCAATTTATGGATTAAAATTAATTTTCTGAAAGAGGCTTTATATGGGGGCTAGGGGTAAATATGGACTAAGCCCGATAAAATTTTGTGAATATATTTATATTTACATAATATTTTATTTTGCTGAATTTCATCGCGATATTTGTGTTTATAAGTTAATTTTGGACATTCAAGTAGTTTTCTGAAGGGGACTTTGTATGGGAGCTAGGGTCAAATGGGGCCCGATCTTTATAAAATTTGGCAGGGTCATCAGGACTTCTATAAAACTTAGTTGTGCCTTATTTTATCGATATACCTGTATATTTAACATAATTATGAGCTCAGAAGCCCTTTTCGGGGGGTTCTGTTCTATAGGGGCTAGGTGAAATAATGGACCGATTTCAACCGTTTTCGTCCTTCGGCCAAAAAAAGCGTGCATGCCAAATTTCATCCAATTATCTTGAAAATTGCGACCTGTACCTTGCGCACAAGGTTTACATGGACAGCCAGCCAGCCAGACGGACGGACATAGCTTAATCGACTCAGAAAACGATTCTAAGCCGATTGGTATACTTTAAGGTGGGTATAGGACGAATATTTTTGCATGTTACAAACATCAGCACAAACCCAATATACCCTCCCCACTAAAGTGGTGTAGGGTATAACAAACCTAAACATTTTTGTCACGGGAATAGTTTTGTGTCAGTTGCCTTTTCCCTATGATATCCATTGACCAAAAGATTGGTATCAATTCAACTCATATCTTAAAATTTTGGAAAATTCCCACACTAAATAATATTATTTTACTTAAAACAATTAACATTCCAAACATATTCTTTTTATTTCAGTGGAATTTTCTAATAAGAGATTTTCCGTCGGCAAACACTTGTATTTTTGTGCCACAAACTTGAAGTACATAGTGATTCTCAATTTGCTTAACCGTTAGCAATGTAGATTCTAAAAAAATGGTAAGTTTTGAAATGTTTATAAACTTTTAAAATTAGCAATTAAAATACACCACCCAAAACTACGTTAATGGTGAATAAAAGAGTCATATGGTGTTTGTTTATTAAATTTGATTCTAACATCTCATGTGTTACATAAATAAATATGAACAATATGTTTTAGATGTTGACAACAGTATTAGTGAGCGCCTAAGTGTAAGTGTTAGTGAGGATTGTTTGTTTGTATGTAAAAATAACATTTCCGGCTTTTTGCAAGGCTTAAGTAAAAAAGAAAAAAAAATATAAAAGAAATTTATAACCATAACATTTGTATTGCTGTTTACTACCTTATTCTCAATTCTTGGCAACATTAGCTAGCAGCGCCAACAAAATAGCAACAAAAACAACATCAACATCATCGCAATAACATAATTTAACTCACCACGGATATAAAAATATAAAAGGAACTTGTAGCGCCAGCGCCAACATTTTGCAAACATTTGACATAATTTAGTTTAATACATTTAATATATGGATGTGAGTGTTTATGTATATGTGTGTGCATATGTGTTTATGTATTCTTTTTTATTTAATTTTATTTATTATGTATGAAAGTATGCATGTATGTATAGAAGAGGTGGTACATACTATGAATGAGTACATAATAATATTTTATTTTTGTTTTTTTTTCTCTCGGTTTGGTTTGATTCTGTTATTGTTGCTGTTGTCGTGTTTTTTACTAGATGTCTGCTTGGGTGTTTAATGGATGCATGATGGTAGTTGCTGTTTTTTCGCGTTTTGTTTTGATTACTGATTCTTGGTCTCTTAGGGGTCTGTCTGTCCGTCTGTCTGTCTGTATGTGTGTTTATAATGTTATTATTGCTTTTTAATTGTTTAACAAGAGATTTGAAAATTCGATTTCATTTTTAGTTGTAAAGTTTGAAGATGATGATGACGATGGGCTAAATTGGAATGAGAATGTATGAATGAATAAGTGTTTCGTTTGTTGGCCTGTTGGGTCGGTCGTTCGTTTGGTATGTTTGAATTTCTATGGCAACAAGCAACAACAATAATAGCAACCAACTAGAGGCAATAAAACCACTAAACACCACAACCAATTGCACGAATTGTTTGTTGTAAATTGTCGTTCACGACAACGATGTGTTTAGGAATTTCAATTTATTTTAGGTTGTCGATTACATACAGACATACATGCTAATACACATAGATACACTTATACACATATGTACGAGTATTTTGAATAAAACTTGAGTTTGTATGAGTATTTTGAAGATATGTATTAGTGTAAGTTTAAGTGTGTGCGTGACTTAAAAGAAAAACGATGCTAAATAACGAGAATCAAAACAAACTATAGAAAAATGTGCCGCTATTTAGAAAATGCATTTTTTATATTATTATTGTTTTCTTCATCTACTTCTCACATTTCATACCTCTTTAAAGTGGATTTGCATGTGGTTTGTTGGTTGGTTGCTTGGCTATCCAACATATTTTGACTTAAACTTAAGGAATATTTGTTTTGGTTTTATATTATTAATTTTTAGCCTAATTTAAATAGATAATTTTCAATATGGCTTAAAATATTTCTTTGGTACTTACTTTTGGTCCGGTCAACATTTTGAACTATTTTATTTTTGTTAAAATTTCAATGGCATGAAAATGTATTTTTTATTTATTTAAAATCGGTCTTAATTGCTGCTTTCTACTATTTTGTGTCTATAATTAGAAATTCTATTAAAGCAATCTTTCACTCACTAAACATTCTTCTTAATTAAATAATTTATGCAAAAAGGAGTTTTTATATTAATAATTTTTGCATTGTTTCTAATGTTTTCAGTAAATTTAGAATGTATTACATTTTAAAGTCTTAATATCATTTGCCAACGGAAAAATGTTGAAACGATTTTATTTATTTCTTGGAATTTTGTACGCATTTTACGTATTTTTTTTTGCTTAGAATACTCGTACTGAAGCTTAAAAAATGATTTTGCGCTAAAGCGCTGAATTTCATGTTGTATCTTGAAGTGCAGAGTTCACACTGGAGTTTTTTTTGCACAACTAAAAATCAAAACAAAAAAATTATATATAAAATGTTTTTTTCTTCTTGCCTTAGTCGCTTTTTGCTGTTAGAGTAGCAGTAGTTGGGTGTATGAACGTTTTTCGTTTCATAACGTACCGTACGAGTAAGAAGCATTTAATGATTGTGTATATTTGTGCATGTTTCATATACATATAACAACTACTGGGCCACTACGGTGAGACCTCGATAAATTGTACTAATAATTATATGGAATAAAGTGAAACCACACCTAAATAGAATTTAATACATATTTTTCAATTTTCAAAAGAAATTATAGAATCAGCTCTGGAATAGAGAATAAATTTGGTTAAAAGTCATAATTTTGATCAATTTTACTTGATCATGAAACGACTAAAGTGAAAAAGTGAAGCCTTACCAAAATTGTATCTAAAAGATAATCTTCTTAATTTTGTTTTAATAATTAAGTGACGTAAATGTCAAGAAGCCCTAAATGTTGGCAATATAATCTCTCTAAATATAGCACATTATTTAAGTAACTCCTTTCCTTATACATATACATATGTATATTCCTTTCATATAACGTCCCTAACCCTAAAAAACAGAATCGGTATTAGTCAATTTTCTTACATTTATGAGGACTTGAACCGGTCTTTATCTTAACAGTTAACAAAAAACTATTGGTCCAAGCTTAGCAAAAAACTTTCTTTAATTTAAAAGAGAGTTTACTGTAGCTTTATCACATTTTTGTTGTTTTAGTTGGTTTTACAACAACCAAGCACCCTACAGTAGTTTTTAGTACATATAAATGACTGGTAAATAATAAAAAATTTATGATATTTCTTTAAATGTTTAACATATCAAAATATCAGGCGCCAAGCGATATATTCATGTTTAGTTAAAATTTTTATATAATATTTTGTGATATTTTAAGGAAGTTAGTAATATGAAATTACCTTTAGTATTTATACATCAAATTAAAGGAATCTGGAGAACTTCGCATTGTCCTGAATTAAGGTATTTATGTAATCAGTATTACCAATATAAACCCATCTAAAATATATATATATATATATATATATATTTATATTTCTATTTGTGTAAATTGTGTGTATATGTATGTATGTATGTATGTATGTATATTCAAACCTTCATATATATTTATGTATGAATTTACGTGATTATATACATACAAACATGCATATGTATAATACAAGTTTAAAATGAATGTTTGAGTAAATACATACACACGCACACATTTATGTATACACATACAACAAACATACATACTTATATTTGCTTAATCCTCCTCTTGGTAGTCATTGTCAAACTGAATTGTCATACTTGAACAACTAAAAGACCGACCTACCTATCGAATGACCGTCAAAATAAACGACGTAACAACAGACGTAATGCCAAATCTCCGTTTGGAGTTCGTTTCATTTTGTGCATGCGCTCATTTTGGAAAATACATTCTACATTTGCCATTACCCCACTGCCTCCTTCCAATTACTTTTCAAAGTATTTACTAACAAACAATGGCAACATACAATGACGACGACAATAACAGCAACAACAACGACAACTACGACGATATAAAACTACGATGCTGAGGATTGGAGATTGGTGGTAATGGTATGACAGTGGAGTATGGTGTGTCATGGCATGGTGACTAAGTTTTTCCAGCCAAATTACAGCAACAGAGCAAAGTAAAGCCAAAGCTTAATGTATATACGAAGTACGTGAACTGGCATGAGTATGTACTGCGGTGTGTATGAGTTAAAAGGCAACCGATCCAAACTACATAGAGTACTTGGCATTCGAAGTCCTCAGTCTGACTACTGAAGCAAAATTGTGAGCATACTCTGATATTACAATAAACAAACAGTACAACAATAAAAACAACATCAAAAAATACAGAAAAACTGCAAAATATCCACAAAGACAGAAAAACTTAATGAACGACTGACCGACCGATTGAATTACGGCGGAAACGTCAAATCGACTCTCAAACAAACTACTCGTACAACTACAATGATGGCAATGTTCATTCCACAACGAAATCTTCATGCCACTGCCACAGTTGTTTACTACATACGACGAGTCGAGTATACAGTTTGCGTGGTATGTAGCAGCCTACAAATATTAAATGTATGCATGGGTGTGTGTGAGTGGTATGATTATATACATACGTCCGTTCTTTTGTATCTGTATATATGTATACGGATAAATATACATATGTATGTATATGTGTGTACATTTTTATAAGTATGTATGTATTTTATCTGTTTTTGTTAAAGTTTGCTAGTATGTATTTCATTTATAGCTACGAATTACCAAATAATTTTCAGACAAATCTATAGTTCTAGTACAAATACTATTCAACAGAACCTTTAAATTTTTGGGGTCTTGAACACAAATAACCCTTTATACCAAATAAAACAAAACTTATATAAGTATCTAGGAGTTATTAACACTGATACTTGAGTAACTTATTAGTTTTCAGGAAAATCATATGTTAAATTTGAATAAAACAAAAAATATATAAGGATTTCGCTATTTATAATGCTTATCGTACCATAATCAGTTGTTAGGTATTTAGGAGCTTGAAACCTTTCCTTGAAATATGTATGTACTATTATAAATTATTTTAATTAAAATATAGTTTTATAATTTTTTCCTAAAACTTTATTTTGCAGTTCGATTTCAAATAGTAGCATGCACTTGTGATTCGTTAATACCTACATATTCAAGTTTGTTTGTTATTGTTGTTGTAATCCCAACTAAGTATATATTTGTGCGCAAAATTGTATTTCTTTCCACACATACACCCATTTACATTATTTATATATAAAAATATCCTTTTTTCCATGGTTGTTTTTGTTGAATAGATGTTGAGCTGCGTCATATACCACAAATTCCATTCTCTTATTATCCGTTAGAAAGAATCGTTGTTAGTTAGTCGTTC